GTTAGGGTTAGAAAAGGGTTTGGGGTTGGGGATAGGTTTATCTTATAAAAATTAAACTTTAACAATAGTCACTAGACTGCCGGCCATTTAGTATTTTATAAACCGTGACCGGCTGCCGGTCATATAGTCACTTCGTTGTTTTAAATTTCCCTTAAAGGTGATCTACAGTCCGTATGTAAACAAAGCCTTTGTTTACATTTTTGTGTCCAAAATATTGAGCATTATTCGACAACTATTTATATTTTCAAGTTTCTAGAGTATAATAAATGATCATGAAACAACAATCAGGCTTTTCAAGAACTCAAAACATAGTTAAACTGTTTGTATCATAAAAAGTGGGCTCATTTGTGCACATGCGCAGATTGGCTGTAGATCACCTTTAAATTAATTGTTTTAAGTGATGTGAAAATGTTAGCTCTTTAACGCTTTAAGTGGCAATGCACCCTACAATTATTTTACTCTCACTGTCTAATGCCAGATTATCTTACTCTGTCTAAAGCCAGACGATTTTACTTGTCATTGGGAGAGTGCTGGCGCTCATTAGCTAGGATAAGGGTTATCCCAGGGGGAGTCAAGTATCAACAGTAAGATTGTATTAATGATTTATTTAGTACATTATGTTTTGCAATATCCTACTGTATATTACCATGATCATAGTGATGATCATACTGTTTTTCCCATAACAAAATATTTCTTAAGTTTACTATTGTTCCAGTGGCAGTGTTTTTGTATGCTCTGATTTATGTTATTAATTAAACTCAGATAAACTAAGCATATACAATATATGAGTTTGTCTCATGCTAATTTACCTAGCTAATTAGTATCAGGTACAAATAATGCCTGACACAAACATTAAACTGGTCGCTTTCCACACAAAGTAAAGTTTTGATTTTGTATCCAATGATAAATTTCATTATATGTCATAAAATAAACAATAGTATCATGCAATCAGCATTAAAATTTCTTTGTATGATAGACCAATCAGGTCAAAAGCCAGATTTTTGGCTTTTTTAAATGTGTGCACATGACCAGGTAAGGATTTGTGTCAGGCCCTCTTTCCTTTCCCTTGACTTCCGAATTTATCCTTATGGCCTGAAAGTCTCATGCCAAACTTGTATTCTATACCAGCTTCATTTTCACGTCAATTGACAAGCATGGTATCGGACTTTCCTTTTTTGAAACTGAAGCTGGTTTACTTGCTCCCAACATGTTTGTATTTGATGAGGCAACACTACCAAAAGATGAGGTTGTTGTGGCTGCGGCAACACCACTGAAAAGTCCAGATGAGGTTGTTCTGGGTGCGACAACACCACCGAAAGGTCCCAATGAGGTTGTTCTGGGTGCGACACCACCACCGAAAGGTCCCGATGAGGTTGTTCTGGGTGCAGCAGCAAAACCGAAAAGTGAGCAAGATGGTGTGCTTGCTCCAAATGTGTTTCCACTTGGTGAGGCAACACTGAAAAGTGAGAAAGATGTTGGTTTGCTTGCTCCCAATGTGTTTGTATTAGATGAGGCAACATTGACAAATGAGAAAGTTGTTGATTCACTTGCTCCCAATGTGTTTGTACTGGGGGTGTTAAAAGTGAATCGACTGCTCTTTGACATGGCAATTGGCCTACTTGCTTCATTGCTATTTGATTCTTCTTGGTGGACTTCCGTTTCATATGTTATGTCAACACATGATACGCATGCTTTTTTTTCAAATGTGTACTTTCGTTCAGGAGGAGTTGATCTAAAGGACTGACTTGCTGGCTGCCACTGAATCATCACCTCACTTTGTTCAGTTAAGTTAATGACTGCTAAGGAAAGTGTGGCGTTGAATGATGCTTTGTTTCCTCCAGTAAACTTGAGAACATGACTAATTACCAGGACCATTTTATAACCACAATACCAGAATTCACATGATTTGATTGTTTGGCCAGTTTGGGCCAGCTTATCCAACACCTCTACTGCTATCACCCATGTGTAGGGAATGAAGAACTGCTTACTAGCTTCAGTGGATAAGATGAACTGCATACTAGCTTTTCTCTTCACTGGTTGACGTGGCAGCCGTTGTATCAAGGTATCTGGTAGAGCATGATAACTGATACCTCTTATGAAATGGTCATTGAAATCTGGTAGCTTCTTGGCAACAGAATTGTGCTGTACAATATTGTGTAAATAATCAATAGACATCAATTCAAATCTGATCAAGGATAACAATGATGGAAGCTCTTGACTTTGTAAGACATTATCAATTCCACGTTGCTCGATCCAATGCATCAATGCATGAAAAATAGTGTTCTCACTATTTGCAACCAGTTTGTCACTACTCAGAAGGTACTTCAGCGTAGTCTCACTTAGATTTTCAAAACGTGTTGTCTGCCATGTTTTATCCAAAGGGCTGAATTCTTTTACAAGATAGTGCAGTAGGTTCTTTACAAGATCTTTAACATCTGTGATTGTACTATCAACTGCAATAAAGCACATAATCTTCTCAAAAATTTCAATGGAGACAACTGCAGCCTCTAAGCAGTTTTTGCATTTCTTGAAGACAAATTTCGCGTCGTATTTATGAGAAAGTCTCAAAACTTCGAGGAGTTCATCAACATGGACATTATCCAACATATCAATTTTATACATTGCTTCCAATAACATCAAATGAGCTTGCTCCTCGCTTTCCGAGATCTGAACATGAACTTCTTGTGCACTTGATTCCTTCGTTCCAGAGAAAAACAAGGAACGGAAGTAGGAACTCTGTATGGCTAGCCATGTGCCATGAATGTAGAATTTATGTTGGCGAATGGTTTGCCCTTCGTTGGTAGGATAGTTTATTGCTTCATTGCTCTTGCTCGAAATCTCATTGCTATTTTCACTTTGTTCTTTATCTAGTTTATCATTCAGGCTGGGAGTTGCATCATTGTCATCATTGGTGATTTCTGATTTTTGCTGGCCTTTCATTTTGTTTCCATTGCTTGTATTTTGATTTGTTTCCACATCTTCGTTCAGCACAGTTTCATGTTTGTTAGTGACTTCTGTGTCATTTGCTTCTTCAACTTTAATGCTCCAATCGTCATCATCTTGACTTTCATTACTCAATTTATTCTCAATTTGTTGGCTACCTGTTCAAACAAATACTTGTCAACAAATAATGATATTTTACAGTAATTTTTATATTTGTTTTGATGTAGTTTAGTCTACACTTCTTTCTATATTAGCTCCCACCCCCTCCCTTTGAAGGTCCCAGTACCCCCTCCATATTAAGTTCCCACCCCATTGCTTTGAAGGTCCCAGTACCTCCTCTATATTTGGCCACCACTCCTCCCTTTAAAGATCCCAGTACCCCCTCTGTATTAAGCTCCCACCCCTCTCTTTGAAGGTCCCAGTACCCCCTCTATATTAAGCTCCCACCCCCTCCCTTTGAAGTTTCCAGTACCCCCTCTATATGAAGCTCCCACCCTCTCTTTAAAGGTTCCATTACCCGCTCTATATTAAGCTCCCGCCCCTCCCTTTGAAGGTCCCAGTACCCCCTCTATATTAACCACCCCTTCCCTTTGAAGGTCCCAGTAACCCTCTATATTAATTAAGCTCCCACCTCTCCCTTTGAAGGTCCCAGTACCCCCTCTATACTAAGCTCCCACCCTTCCCTTTGAAGGTCCCATTATTATTAAGCACTCATCCTCCCTCTGTTAACCCCCTCAATTTTTTTAGCCCTTTCCTTCCCGAGAAAGAAACGGATATTTCCTATCCATTGCCTTTCTCATTGTGTTTACACGTGAAACATACTTTGGATTCCATGATTATATAAATAAGTGTATAATACTAACCATTTACATAATTTGAAGCGATTTCGCAATCGTCGCTTTCGGTTTCACTTTCATCGTTTGTATTCACACCTATTTCCACGTCTTCCACGTTTTCAGTTTTGGCTGTTTCACCATCGCTTCCGTCTTTGGTTTCACTATCACTTCCATCTTTGTTTTGATTGCTAGCTCCGTTCTCATTTCTTTCATTTTCTTCAGCATTTGCTACGCTAAGTCTACGTGGCCGTGAAGCGACAACATCAAATATTAAAACTCTGTCATGCAGATCAGGCTTGTTAAACTCAGCTTCGTACGACTTCAATAATTCCAGTACATCGTTCAATTTTACTGCACGCAAAATTTGCTGGGCAAATGTACTCATTTTGCTTAATACTGAATACTTACTAAGTTTGTATTGGCGTTGTCCTTGCAGTAACAGTAGACCACAGAGTAAGAGGAGTATACTGTAACTTTACTTTACTGGGTGTGCTGGGCCCGAATTTGGCTTAATCAAAGACATAGTCAAAGAGCCAAAAATTTGCACCCTGCAGAATATTTTATTTGCTCAGCCAATCAAAGAGTCAAAATTTTGCACCCTGCAGAAATTTTATTTGCTCAGCCAATCAAAGAGTCAAAATTTTGCACCCTGCAGAATATTTTATTTGCTCAGCCAATCAAAGAGTCAAAATTTTGCACCCTGCAGAATATTTTATTTGCTCAGCCAATCAGAGTCAGAATTTTGCACCCTGCAGAATATAGAGATCAGTGATAGAGATCCGATTTCAATATTCTGGGAATTGCATTTCGTGGAATTAACCGAAAGAAGCGTACTGATTTAAGGGGGAGCTTCACCTCAAAATTTGGTCGATTAGGATGAAAATGTCAAAATATCTAAAACATCATGATAGGATACCTAAACATGTATTTTATCAACTAGTGAAGTCTTTATTTAAATTTCCATACTTTTTACGGAAAAAATAGACTTTAGAGAAAGGATGTGAGATTTCATTGGATGTTTACACCAGGTTACCATGGAAACGAGCTTCAAAAATCCTCTAAAAAAGTCGTTTTACTGTGCGATTTCAATGTAAAAATTTTATACAGGGCTACTATGCCAATGGTGTGTATTAT